ATATATATATATATATATATATAGCAAAATTGAATTAAATAAGAGAGGTACAAGAAATACTCCAATCCATATACACAACAAAATCAAAGTAAGTAGTGGACCTCTGACATCAAGAGATATTTAATGAAAACAACACAATAAATGCAAACCTCCTAAAACCAATTTGCAAACATCATATAATAAAAAATCTTACACCAATTGGTAGAACAGTCAAACTAGCAATTCCAAAAAAGATAATTAGCTACAAAGTGACACCAATCACCATTATCAAAAGCATTCCTACAGTTAAGTCAAAATCACACATCCAGATAGCAATAATCACCAATAAATATCACTTAATAAAAATTAAGAAATACGAAAGGTGACTCAGAAAAAAAAAATGAGTATGAAAAAAAATTATATCTCGCTTTTAACCATTTCCAAGAATGCAATTTTATCATCTAAATATCGCTTAAAGTCTTATTTTATTTCTTTTAATTGTGTTTTATCAACAATATGAGAATAAATTGAGAGTGTGTTTATAAATTAATCAAACACTAAATAAGTAAGTTGTTAATAATAACCATTTCAAAAATACTTTCTACTTGGCGGCCACGAGAATCCAGTGAATTGGATACGTATGAATTATTGCGACAATTTTGGTTATTCCTATTTTCCAATAATAACATATTTATTTGCTTATTAAAAAATAATGAATTAATTGAGATATAACACCTTACTTGTCCAATAATTTTGAAACATTTTAGTTATGATGTCATACTTATTAATTAAAATACCAATGCTCTAATTTATACTTAGTTATACAAAGCTACTTGATTTTATTTAAAGTATAAATTGTAACGCCCCAAATTTTTGTAAAATTAGTGAACGAGATTTAATTAAATAAATTTTTGAAAGAATAATTGAGGTTTTTTTTTATATAATTAAATTATGAGTGTTTTATTTAATTATTAGAGGTTGCAAAATTATCATGTGCACGATTAATATTATATGAAGGGGTTTTTAATTAATATTTTTATTTTATTTATTTTATTTATTAAAGGAGGGAAATTGGTTTTAGAAAGAGAAATTTTGAAGGTAAGGTCAAATTTTGCACTTCTTTTGTTTCATGCTTGTTTTCTCTAAAACTAAAGAATTATTTGAAGAATAGGAAGACATTAGAGATTATCTTGGAACTAGCATGCATCTTCTAGTGTGTGTGTGCGTGTGCGTGTGTGTCTGTGTCTGTGTGTGTTGTGTGTATATATGTATTTAATGGATTCGAAATGTTGAATACGAGTGTATTAACATGAATATAGTGAACAATGAAGTTGCGTAAATATTTTAATTTTGCTATGAATTATAAAATTGTTACTTTGTTTATTTAAGTATATGTTGAATATGTTAGAATGAGATATTTCCTACTTCTCTCTATTTTTTGTTGTTCCACATTAAGTATGTTGCAGATAATTATTGTTATGATGACACGGGCAACAAGGCATGAACCTTGTGGGTTGTGTATATGTTCTAATAGGATGTGACACCATTGGACGTGTAACATAATATTTTCTCATTATCTAAGTTATGAATAATGTTAGATATTTGATTTGTTTATCTTATGTACATTCTTAAATATTCTTTTGATTTATCATGTGTTAATCTTGTGAACGTTATTGAGCTTGAACACTATTATGGTTATCATATTTGAAATATTTTGAATATTGCCTTAAGTCGGTGGGCTGGCGGGTCAACCCACAAAGAAAAAAAACAAAAAAGGAAA